CCTTACCTGCAACTCCCAGATGCATCTAAGGAGCAGGTCCAGAATGACTCCTTTACTAACTATCTAGTCATTTCCCTGGCCTGTGTGTCCTTTCTCTTTCTGGTCTCTGTTATTATGTTCATTGCCATTCGCCTGTGGAAGAGGAAGAAGGACACCACCGACATTAGTCGCTTCTCTTCCAATGGCCCCTTCCCAGGACACTTGGTGGATGTCAGCAGGACAGGGACCCTGTCCCAGAGTTACCAGTATGAGGCGTGTCTGGCCAGTGGCTCAGGGACCACTGAATTTAAGTTCCTGAAGCCGATTGTTCCCATCCTTCCTACTTCAGAGGGAAATGAGAACTCGATTCAAAACTTAGCCTCAAGGAATAGTTTTTGCTTCAATTAGAGTTTGACATGTGCTTCAATGCATAGAGGCCAGGTTTTATGGCTTCTTTCCCTTCTCCTCCCATTAGTTACCTGTCTTCTTGTAGCATGAAAAAGTAGATTTTTGTAGTGTTACATTGTCTCATAATGTATTTATCTTCTCTTTCCCCCTCTACACACACATTTTCCTTCTTTCCCCTGCATCCTTTCCCTGTAAATCTTTCCTTTCTCCTTTTGTTCTCCTTGGGTCTTTGATTTTTCTCCCAGTTACTCTATTGCTGTTCTTTTTGAAATGAGTGAACCATCATATATTCCCTTTCTCATTTAAAACTTAAATTTTTAACATTCCTCAGTCAGATAATTCAGCAAAATTTTTTCCCTGTATTCCAAACTGATTATGATTCCATGCTCTCAGCCAGAGTATCCAATCTTGTGTCACCTACAATGGAATGTTTTCCAAGATTTTTCCAAGAGTTCATTCTCATTATGTCAATGGAAATAATTGTGGTTCTGTGGAAGCACAATTTAGGCATCTGTTCTGACCTTCTTGGGGATTTTTTTCCCTCTAATTTACCTGCCCTCCTTTTAAGTGAAACATCTTCAGAGAATGGTAATGACCTTGTAACCTACTAGCTGTGACCCCTAGAATTTTTAAATTACCCAGGTACTTAAAAAAAAAAATAAGATACAAGGTATTTCCTTGTATTTTGTTTTTAAATAGTGCATAGACCTTACTGAAAATGTTCTTATTTGTGATTTCTGATGTCAATCCCCTAGGTCATGCCTAGTTTTGGGAAATAACAAGGACTAATAAAGAACACTAATATATTGGTGGAAAAAATTGGCTAGAATATATCATTATGAAGGTACTAAAGACAGTTGTATGGTAAAATTTTGTGAAGAAAGAATATATAGTGGATTGAAGACAATTGTGAAATACTAAATGCAAACTTCTGACTGCTGAATATTCCAATGACATTGCACATTAGTGATAACTTCTAATCTTTAAATGTCCTTGATATGAATTTCAAGAAGTGGAGTCGTGCCTGTTGTTATGGCTTTGTAAAATCATTCTTTGTGAACTACTTTGTATATGTTTGTGCCACTTTTTGCCTTCAATCCCATAGATTTGAATTTTTACATCCTTTAGAAGGCCAAGCCATTTATCTCACAGGTTTGTGGTGAGGTTTAATGACATAATATTTGTAAAGATCTTAGCACAGTGCCTGGCACATAATAAGTATTAACTAAATGCTTGTTCCTTTCCCTCCTTGAGGCCTGAAAATAAGTTTAAATAAATATGTCTTTGTTTTCCCTTATGGTTATTTAAATCATTTTCCAGTTTGAGTAACATACCCTTTCATGAGTGTCACCATCTTGGACAAAGTGTGTACTTTCATAATATCTGCCTGAGGTCTTTGAAAAGTTTCATCCATAGCCATTCTGAATTTTATCACAGAATATCTGAACTGGAAGGGTCTTCACAAGCCTTTCAACTCAGTTTCTTTTCAATCAATGTTCAATTTTGAAGAAATGTCATTTCTGGTATACTTTTACTTTTCATACCAGATATGATCACCTGCATTTGGAAGTAGAAGAAAATCTCATTTATTTGAGACTGAAAGCTATTCTTTAATTTGCATATATATATATATGATTTTAAAAACTATTTTAAAAGACAGATTAAGAAGATATACCATGTCTCACTCTATCAGTATTTGGGGTTCAATATGGGGCAAGCACTTTTCTTCTTTCCGTGCCCTTTTGCACAAAAGATTTGTGATTTCTTCAATTCGAGGAACAACTCAACTGTAACTTAATAGACAATTGCTAGGGAGTAGCCCCTGCCACACAGATATTAAGTGGTTCATCAATGATCACATACGTAGTAAATGTCAGAACGTGGCTTTTTGATTGGGTATTCCTGACACCAACTAAACGTGTTGTCTCCTAAACCACAATGCCTCTTTTTTGGGGGTAGCATTACTATATAAATGATTCAGTTGTCTGCAGTTATAGATCCACAATCTTATATCATTAAAACCTAAAATAGACAATGTGATGGTGGAATGGGGGAGTTTCCAATGTCAGGACATTCTCTGAAGATAGAATCATTATATACTCTGTTGGAATTTTATTCTTTCTTTTTTGCTCTTCTTATTGTTTCAGAAGCTGATTTGGTACAGTAAAGACTTTGTAAATAAAAGGCATTATCTTCCTGGTAGGAGAGGAAAGGAGTAAAATTAAAAGATGTCTCAGAGTTATTCTCTCTCTCTTTTTTTTATTTTTAAGCTTTTTATTGTTAAGCTCAACAAAAACCAAAAATTTTGTTTGAAAAGAGGACAGTATTGTATATGAAGCCACAAATTTCTGTTATTTACACTTTACTTTAAAATGTACATATTATAAATTTAGTGTTATTTTCAGTATTGCACTGCTTATCTATGTTTCCTTCTGCTCTTTTTTGTGAAAGTTTTAAGATGCTAAAATAATGGTATTTTTGTTTTCTTCTCTCTTCTTTTTTTTTCACTCACATTCCTATAAGAGTCATTCTTTAAGATAGGATCCAAATTTCATTTGCCAGATTACTACCTCTTCCTTTCTCAACTGATTGGCTCAAATGAACACTTCATCATCTTCTATTATCCACATTCAGTCTATGGCGGATCTTCCAAGAAATCCCCTTTCCCTAGGGCAACAGAGTTCAGGGCTAAGAACACTGACTCCCAGAGAGTCATTTTCCTGGATGGTATTGGTGTTGTTGTTCAGTCATGTCTGAATTTCTGCGGCCCCATTTGGGATTTTCTTGGCAGAGGTGATGTAGTTCTTTGTCATTTCCTTCTCCAGATCATTTTACAGATGAATAACTGAGGCAAACAGGGTTAAATGACTTGACTTGGATCACACAGCTAGGAAGTGTCTGAAACCAGATTTGAACTTAGGAAGATGTCTTCCTGATTCCATCCAATGCACCACCTAGCTGCCCTGGGGTGTATATACTGAATCATAAAACACGGTAATATCCAAATTCTCTTAGCAAAGTGCCCCTTGGCTACAGAACCCTTGCACCATTCCATTTGTGAAGAAGAAAGACTTTTGATTACCAGAAAGATCAAATAAAGGACGTCTTAGCTTTTTGGTCTTATAGGTTCACAAACGAGGTGAATAGGAAGCATCAGCTGCTTCCACTCTTCACCATTTACTCTTTCTGTCTGACTCTTAGTTTCAAAAGGTTGCCCCTCTAGGTATTGTAGAGTTGAATATGGCTTTTTGTAAGCTCAAGTCCTTTCTTTTGCAGTTAAAATATTCATCATTGCTTTTGGGGTCTGGAAGGCTACGTTCTTGACAGAAGCACATGCTTTTAAACCAACTTTAAAAAACATACATGTATAAATAAATACATTTATATGCATATATGTGTGTGGTGTGGGGCAATGTTCTGAGTGGTTATAATATTGATATGGATCACCCTACAGAAAAGAAGTTGTATACCATTTATATTACAAAATAGAATTCGAAGTATGATATCTATATGTGTTCCCTGTGACATTATTTACTTCATTCTACAAAAAATAATGAAGAGCCACGTGGTGGCGCTGCAGACTAGGAAGAGGCAGAAAAGTTATGCGAACACATCAATACCCAGGAAGAGAGCCCAGAATCAGACAATTCAGAAGCAAAGAGGAAGCTTGGTTAGCTGCCATTGGGGATCAGCTCTCCGAGCCAGACGGACGAAAGTGGTAGCTTCTGGTTACCATTTGCCGTCAAGCTGGACTACACGCATTGAGAGGAGGGGTCAAAAATGGAATGCAAAGGGACTATGATTCCACAACAAAGGCAAGTTCTCTTTTTCCTTGTTCTGCTGGGTGTGTCTGGGGTGGCCTCAGAGCCGCAGCAGTTTTCAGTAGTGGAGGAGATGGAGAGAGGCTCCTTTGTGGCCAGTGTGGCAAAAGTCCTGGGCCTGGAGGTGGGGGAGCTGTCAAATCGGGGGGCCAGAGTCATTTTCAAAGGGAACAAAGATTATTTACAGCTGCACCCTAAAACCGGGGATCTGATCTTGAGAGAGAAATTGGATCGAGAGGAGCTGTGCGGCCCCGCCGAACCCTGTGTGCTGCCTTTCCAGATCTTACTGGAAAACCCTTTTCAGGTGGTTCGCACTGAGCTTAGGATACAAGACATTAATGACCATTCACCAGTATTCCTAGACACTGAGACAATCCTAAAAATCTCTGAGAGCACCTCCCCCGGGACTGTGTTTCTGTTAGAAAATGCGCAGGATTTAGACGTAGGAAGCAACAGTCTTCAGAACTACACGATCAGCTCCAACTCTCATTTCCACATTCAAATTCGAGGGGACACAGAGGGCAGGAGTTACCCAGAGCTTGTCCTGGATAAAGCCCTGGATCGGGAGGAGCAGTCTGAGTTTATATTAACTCTCACTGCAATGGATGGGGGAACCCCACCCAGATCTGGAACTGCCCAAATCCTAGTGTTGGTTATGGACATCAATGACAATGCCCCTGTGTTCTCTCAGTCCCAGTATGATGTTCAAATTCCTGAGAACAGCTCTATTGATTCCCTCATTGCTGTAGTCTCAGCTAAAGATTTAGATACAGGAAATAATGGAGAGATTTCCTATTCGTTATTCCGTGCCTCTGAAAGTATTCGTAAAACCTTCCAATTAAATGAAAAATCTGGAGAACTTCGTTTAAAAGAGAAACTGGATTTTGAGTCAATTCAGTCTTATACAATAAATATTCAGGCCACAGATGGTGGTGGTCTTTCTGAAAAATGTACTATAGTTGTTCAAGTGAAGGATTTAAACGACAATCCCCCCGAGCTGACCGTGTCCTCATTTACCAGCCCCATTCCAGAGAACTTGCCTGAGATCTCAGTTGCTGTTTTCAGTGTTTCAGATGCAGACTCTGGGGAAAATGGAAGAATAGTTTGCTCCATCCAGGATGATATTCCCTTTACTCTGAAACCTTCTTTTGAGAACTTCTACACATTGGTAACAGAGGGAGCACTGGACAGAGAGAGCAGAGCTGAGTACAACATCACTATTACAGTCACAGATTTGGGATCCCCCAGGCTCAAATCTGAGCACAATATCACTGTGCTCATCTCTGATGTCAATGACAACCCCCCAGTGTTTATTCAAAGAGTCTATAAACTGTACCTCCAGGAAAACAACAGCCCTGCCCTCCACATTGGCAGTGTCAGTGCCAGTGACAGGGACTCAGGAATCAATGCCAAAGTCACCTACTCTCTGCTGCCTCCAGAGACTGGAGAACTGCCCCTCTTCTCCTACATCTCCATCAACTCAGACAATGGCCATCTCTATGCTCTGAGATCCCTGGATTATGAAGCCATCCAAAGTTTCCAGTTCACTGTGAGGGCAGCTGATGGTGGTTCCCCATCACTGAGCAGCCAGACTCTAGTTCAGGTTTTGGTAAAAGATGAGAATGACAACTCTCCCTTTGTGTTGTACCCTCCTCAGAATGGCACAACTCCCTGCCATGACCTGGTGCCCAGAGCTGCAGAGCCAGGTTATCTGGTGACCAAGGTGGTGGCTGTGGATAGGGACTGGGGACAGAATTCCTGGCTTTCCTACCAGCTGTTCAAGGCCACAGACCCAGGACTCTTCATTTTGTGGGCCCACAATGGGGAAATTCGAACAGCAAGGCCCATCAGTGACAGAGACACCATCAAGCAGAGGCTCCTGGTGCTGGTGAAGGACAATGGGCAGCCACCTCTATCCACAATGGCCACACTGAATGTGCTCCTGGTGGATGGATTCTCTGAACCATATGTGAAGATCCAAGACTCTAACAAGGAGGAAATGCAGAGTGACTCCCTCACTCTCTATTTGGTCATTTCTCTGGTTTCAGTGTCCTTTCTATTTCTAGCTTCTATCATTCTGTTTATCACCATAAGATTGTGGAAAAGAAAGACTGATGGAGGAAATGGTCACTTTCCATCAAGCACCCCCTTCCCGAGTCATTTGGTGGATGTCAGTGGCACTGGGACCTTGTCTCAGAGCTGCCAGTATGAAGTATGTCTGACCAGTGATTCAGGGACAAGTGAGTTCAAGTTCTTGAAACCAGTTGTTCCCAACTTCCCTCTTCAAAAATCTGGGAGTGATGCAGAGGAGAATCCAGCATCTTGTAGTAACTAAAATTAGGAGAACAGTTTTAAGATCAGACTTTGGGTGTCTTTTTTTCCAGTCAGTTGCACTCATTCCTTCTAATTTCTTCCTTAAGAAATTTAATATATAACTTGTTTGTATTTAATAAATTTGCATGTTGGCAATTGTATCCTCTCATTTGCATTAATATTAGAAAAGAAGTAACAGTCTTTAGATAATGAAAAACTCTGCTTCCAATCTAACAACAAAATTAAACCATAGTTCCCCAGTTGTTGAGTAAATCTCTCTTTTGAAAATTAAACAATCTCCATTTTTAATGTACATCCCTTTTTTCTTCATAACACTTTTTCATTCCTTGATTTTATCCCCAGATCTTTAGATTTTTACTCAGATAGAACATTGAGCTATCTATTAATAGGCAATGGTACAAAGTTGACCTTGCCATTTTGGGGTGAAATATGTGCTCCAGTTTCTTTATATGAAAAAATCATGTTGGACTAGAACATATCTAAGATCCCTTTCAGTATCAACAATTTGTTGTCCTATTATTCTTATTAAACATCAACACTGTGAAAAATGTTGCCTTCATTTTAAGGAACAGAGAGAAGTTTGGGAATGCCTCCTCCAGCCTTTATTCTGTCTTGATAGGCTACCAAAATGGATAATTATTGTTTCATTTTTTTCAATCAAACATCGCTCATTGTTGTAAACAAAGTGGTCAGTGTGAGTGGGAATATCTTTGTGTATAGTTTTTTCTAATATATTAACAATTTGGTATAAAATAGTAAGTCACATCCTCTATGAATCTCAGTTTCTTGATTGTAAAATTAGGATAATAACAGTACTTACCTTAAAGTATTATTGTGAGAATCAAATAAAATTAGGCTTGTAAGGTATTTTTCAAATCTTAAAGTGCTATAAAAATAAGAACTATCATTAACATTAAGGGTCAAAAAGAGTACTGCCTACTTTATTATATTTTCACATTGGTTTATATGAAATAAATTAGAGCAACATACAATACATTAATGGAGACAGTCAAACAAAATAGTCATCAAGTGACATGTGAAATTTTGAAAGGCAAGTATATCTGAGTTCTCCAAAGAAGAGCCATCATCATCACACATAACCAGGGAAATGTGTCTGAAGGCAAGTGGAGTTCACATCTGAGCATAGGTGATGGTCATAAAAAGTTTTAGTGTATCTGGGAAAGGGGTGTGTTGAGTCAACTCCAATGGGCTTGCGAAGGCTGCCTGTTAAATTTTCAGTGTGATTATTTATTTATACCTCAGAAGCCAACAATTGCTACAAATGAGGTCTTCGATTATTAGTTTGTTCATTGTATAGATTTAAGAAAGTGTGAACCACTCAGATAAAACTTAAAAGTGTGTGCATATACTTTCTCCCCCTCGGAGTTTGGTTGTTAAACATTTACCAGCACACCCCTTTATTACTCTAGAAGCATTGCTTGAGCTCAGAGGGAGTACAATAGAAGGTTTAGGGAATGGAGTCACCAAACTGATGACAATCAAGATAACAATGACAATGACAACAACAACAACTGGTATTAATATAGAGCTTTACAGTTTTTTAAATAAAAAATAATTTTTACAAAATTCTTTACATCCATTATAGAACGTAGCCTCACAGCACCCCTGATCTGGTTCCCTTAATTTCAATGACACACCTCATAGCCCTAGTAAAGCACTAGGAACAGCATGTCAATCTGAGTTTTCTGAAACTCATGCTTTAATGGAACATTTGAAACAATGTGTGAGAACTCATTTAACCTGCATCACTGCAGGTTAAATTAATTGTGTGCTAGTCCACATTTGTTGAAAATACAATGGTGCCTGAAGAAGAGGAAATTCAGCAGAAAAGACAAGTTTTGCTTTTTTTTTCCTTTTTGTGTTTGAGGAGGGCTCAAGAAGATTTCAATGGAAAAGGAGAATGGTGCCATTGTAGGTAATGTGGGAGAGGTGGGGGCAGATTCTCTTTGAAGATAACAGGCAGTATTTGCAGTTCAATCATGAGAACAGATATTTAGTCCTAAAAGAAAAAAATGGGACCAGGAGGAACTGTATGACCCCACTGAGCCTTATGTGCTGCCTTTTCAGATCTTACTGGAGAAACCTTTGCAGTTCTTCCAGGCTAAGCTCTAGATGCAAGACATAAATGAACATTCCCCGTTGTAAATGGATGCTAAATTACTTCTAAAAATCTCCAGGGATGGTCATTTGGAAAAGGCTGAAGATTTGGATGAAGGAAGCAATCATGTTCAGAATTACACAATCATCACAACTCACATTTTCATATTCAAATCACTGCAGCACTGACATCAGAAGTACCTAGAACTCATGATCGACAAAGTGTTGGATTGATAGGAAGAGTCTGAAGTTAGATTAATTCTCATGGCTGTGGATGGTGGGTCTCCACCCATATTTAGGACTATTCAATTCTAGTTTTTGGTTATGGATGTCAACAACAATGCTCTTGTGTTTGCCCAGATGTTAAATAAGGTTAAAAAACAGCCCAATAGGCTCCTTGGTTGCCACTACCTCTGCTAAAGATGCAGAGGTAGGTGGGGCAGCGAGCTGGTGCAGTGGACAGAGCACTGGCCCTGGATTCAGGAGGACCTGAGTTCAAATCTGGCCTCAGACACCTAACACTTACTAGCAGTGTGACCCTGGGGAAGTCACTTTACCCCATTGCATAGCCAAAAAAAAAAAAAGATTCAGATGTAGGAAATTATGGGAAAATACCCTACATATTTTCCATGATTCTGAAGAAATTCAAGAAATGTTTGAGTTGAATTCAGAAATGGAAAATTCAATTGATAAAGCAATTAAATTTGGAGACTATTCAATCTTAGGAAAATGATATTGAAACCACAGATTGTGGAAATCTTTCTGAAAAATATATGTTCTTATGGATCATTTGACATATTTGAATGACAATTCCCAGAGTTGATCATTTCATCATACACCAGTCCCATCCTAGAGAATTTGCCTCAGATAATTTCTGTGGTTTTCAGGATTTGAGATAAGACTCAAGAGACAATGGAAGGGTGGTTTGCTCTATTTGGTAAGACCTCCATTTTATGCTAAAACCTGGTGAGAACATTTATTTCTTCATAACTGGGGGATCAGTATATAGGGAGAGCAAGGCTGAGTACTCTTGCTGTCCTCAATTTGGGATTCTCAAGCTTCAAAACCGAACTCAGCTTCACAGTGATGATTTCTGATGTCAATGACAACTCTGCTGCGTTTATTCAGTCTACACTGTGTACTTCTGGGAGAATAACAGTCTTGTCATCTACATTGTCTGCATCAGTGACAGGGACTTGGAAATCAATGCCAAAGTTGTCTACTCCATGCTGCCTCCTGAGACTGTTTTATCTTACATCTTCATTAAATCAAACAATGACCTTCTCTGTCCTCTGGGATCCTTGGATAATGAAGCCATTCAAACTTGCCAGTTCTCTATGAGAGCAGCTGATGTTAGTTCCTCAGCCCTGGGCATCCCTGGACAGCCAGATTCTGGTTGAGTTTGTACTTTTGGACCATGAACCATAGTTCTCCTTTTGTGCTGTATTCACTACAGAATGATAAAACTCTCTTTAATGACCTAGTGCTCAGGGGCTGCAGAGCCTGATTACTTGGTCACCAAGATAGTGATTGTGAATGGAAACTGGGGCATAATTGCTGACTCTCCTAATACCTACTCAAAGCCACAGACCCAGGACTCTTCAGCAGGAAGGCTTGTAATGGGGAAATTGGAAGAGTGAGACCCATTAGTGACAGAGACAACATTAAGGAAAGGATCTTGATGCTGGTGAAGAACAACAGGCAGTTATCTCTGTCCACACCAGCCACACTGAACCTACTTCTGTGGTGGATGGATTCTCTGAAAGCTACCTACAGCTCCCAGATGTACCCAAGGAGTGAGTCCAGACTAATTCCCCTACAGCCTACTTGATAATTTCTTTGGTCTTTGTCTTTTTTTCTCTTCCTGCTTTCTCTCATCCTGTTCATCACTATACATGGTGAAGGTGAAAAATTGATGTTAATAATGTTGGTCCTTATGGGAATGATGAACCATTTTGGGGATACTTTGTGGATGCCAGTAGCAATGGGAACTTATTCCAAAGCTAACAGTGTGAAGTATCTCTGACCAGAGGCTCCAGAACCAGAGTTTAAATTCCATAAACTGATTATCCCCAGTATCCCTGAATAGGGTAGGGAAAGATAGTCAGAAGAAAACCTGCTATTCAAGAACAGCTTCAGTTTCAAGTAGAATTGCATAGAGTTGAAAGTTTGTATCAGTTTTCTCTCTTCTTGAAGTAAAGTGTTACATTAAAAAATTTAGATTTTTAAAGTAGGTTTCTAAATTAGGATCTTTGCAAGTAGATTAGTGATTAAGATGTATCTATCCTTATTATCCTTATTTAGTGTAACCAAATTTATGCTTGTTTAAAAAAATGATTTTATCACCCTTCCTATAAAGCCGAATGTCACAGTTTGAAATCAATAGGAAACTTTCACCCTCAGAGAACCTGAGGCCAATGGATTCCCATACCTCATAAACATTACGCTTTATAATCTTGAATAATAAGTTATTCCAAATGTTGTTCCTTAGCTTCACAATTGAGATGAGTATTGTGTTATCCTAGTAATTGGGGTACATAATCAATTAGTTTATTTGAAGTCTGTAAGTGATTTTTGGCTTGTTGAAGCAGTTAAAGTATTATCAGAGTATACCTATGGTCCTGTGATTCCCGCTTTGCAATTTGACACAAACTTTTGTTTTTCTCCTTTGAAAGACACTATTACATCAATAATATTGGTTATTTTCCATACTTTTAGAATGATATTATCCAATAAGTTCTTCTATTATCAATCTGAAATATCTTCATTATCAGGACATGAAGGGGAGGAAACAAATCTCTAAGGAATCATTACAGAATTAAGGATGTGGAATATTTAAAAGCCAGTATGAAAGCAGGAAGAAAAGTATTCATGGTCAAAGATGGGCAACTTTGGACAATCCTGGAAAGGGAAAAAGAACAAAAACATTTTCTCTTGTTATTTGGTATTTTAAAACTTATTTAGTTCAGCTAAAGGTTTTATCCCTTTTTGTATGTTTATTTGGTTTTTTCTTGTGTTGATAATTTTTACTATGTAACAAAAATAATGAAAATAGAAGTACGACATTCTCCGAAGTAGGCTAGTGCTTTTGGTTTATTCTCAGTTCTTCTGCAGCAATAGAACACGATCTACCAAAAGCCTTCCATGGTCATATGTGGGGAGCAGCATGGCACAGCAGGTAAAGAGAGTGCTGGGCAAGGATTCAGGAAGACCTGGGTTCAAATTTCACCCCTGGCATTTATTAGCTGTATGACCATGTACAACTCACTTATACTCTCTGAGCTTCAAGCAGCTCCACAAGATCTGAGGTTACAGAAGAATTGTCATCAGTATATATTTTCATACATTGTGTGTGTGGCAGGAGAATGTTTTATTAATTACAATATAGTGAGGATTTGAAGAAATTAGAATCCATGTGCTCACATAGAAGATGATGTCTTGAGACAACTGGACCTGTTGTCCTCAAAAACAATGCTGAGTTTTGCAGAATAAGGAACATTTCTAAATAGGGAACCATGACAGCAACAGGACCTCTGTGGTTTATTCTATGTGATGCATTTTCATCGTGAGACAATTCTTTATAATCATATGAGGCCCAAGTGATGATTAAAGACATCATTAGCCAGTCCTGAGTGTTTTAAAAAAACAAACTTCTTCTAAAGATTCCAGAAAGTGATGCCATAGTCACTGACTTCCCCTTCCAAGTGTCTGGAGTGTAGCTGTGACAGTCAAGGACTTTCAGAACTTCACACTGTTCTCCAACAACTGTTTATAAAGATATATCAGGGGGTACAGTAGTGGTGTGCTGTGCTAAATAAAGCTCTGGACAAAAGAGAATGATAGTGTTGAATACTATTTGCTGGCATTAAGAGCATCTTCATCTTGGCCCAGGACACTCTAATGAAACTGGCTACTCAAGATTAATTCCCTATTTCAACCTGCCTGACCTATTAAGTTTGAGTTGTAGACATCAGTTCCTGGAACCAGCTGCTTGTCTCACGACTGAAGGCAATAGAGAACACGTACAGCATTGTGAAATCCAAAAATGCAAGAAAATTTCAAGCCATCTAGTCACACTCCTTTGTCTGAGGGAAACTGATTACATCTTCAAGCAGTTGGAATGATTGTGATATAAAAGCTATATGCTTTATCCAAGTTATGGGCTAGGCCTTTAGTTCATTGCAAAAATCTTCAATAAGATTGAAAGCACGCCAAAAGCCACATCAATGGGCCATAACATTGCTGCTAAGTTAGTTCCTTTCCAACTTGAGCAGTCTTTAACTGACTACCCTCAAGGCTTACACATTTGGTGACATTTTTCATTATACCATTGTCCAGGCTTAAAGAGAAGACAGTTTGCTTTGCTGAGGATACATTCATCGTGGCAGCCAGTTGGCATAGTGGATAGAATGCTGGACTTGGAATCAGAAAGACCTGAATTTAAATTCTTAGGCAATTACTAGTAGTGTGACAATGAGCAAATCATTCTACATCCCTCAGCCTCAGCGTCCTCATCAGTAATAATACCTGTCTCACAGAGTTCTGAGGATCAAATTACATAACATATGTAAAGTCCTTTAAAAAGTTTAGTACTATGTAAGTGCCAGAAATATCATTAGCAAAAATTCAAATGAAACATTATTATTTCTAAAAATCTTACATTCCCATGTCTTTTTCAACTCAGAAGAAGGAATGAAGGAGATGGTCAAAGTGACTTCCATCTAATTTCACCTGTTTCCTACACCATATGGAAGGTAGATCATGTTGCTTCCTATGAAAGCTAGATAAGGAGGAGAACACAGCTTTAAAATACTAAGAATTCTGGGGCAGCTAGGTGGTGCAGTGGACAGCACACCAACCCTGGATTGAGAAGGACCTGGGTTCAAATCTGGACACATAACACTTACTGGCTGTGTGACCCTGGGCAAGTCACTTGACCCCATTGCCTAGCCAAAAAAGAAAGAAAGAAAAGAAAAAGACAAAGAATTATGTTTCTTCATCCCATAAATGTTATTTCTATGACTTCTATAAGCAAGTACCACTACTTGCTATTTCCTAAGTATTATTCACCGCACAGCACCTGGCATGGTCTCTACAGAATCCTGGAGTCTAATTTACATTGTTAATTTACTGACTGAAAATCACTTGCCCCAGTAGATTGTGTGTTCTAAACCCTTTTGGAGGGAAAAAAAATCCCAGCAACCTTCATTTGTGGCCAATCAGGAGTACTTCATATACTTTGGAAATAAAAATGCCTTTAATATTTAAACCACGAATTGAAAATGCTTGTTGCCCCTTGAAGTATTGTGATGTCAAATCATTTTTAGAGTGTGTGTGACCCACATCAATGATTCTGCAAATGCAATTCAACTTATCAAGATAGAGTCCTCATTGGTTGTCACCAGAGATAATGAAACAATTGTAAAGATTTGCAATTGCCATATTCATGTGAACTAAATGAATCACAGTACTACCTCTCCCCAATTTAATTTTCTGGGGCCCTTTGATGCATATATACTTAAATTTCTTTTACAATTAACTTTTATGGGAAAATATTAAGTTATCTTTTCAGACACCTGGTGGCGCTGCAGGCTAAGAAGGCTCTGCAGAACCCAGCCTCCCATCAAAGCAAAAGCAGAATTAGAAAAAAGCTCAAAGGGAAGCTTTGTAAGGAGGAGCTGAGAACTCAAACCTGAGCTTCCTGAGACAGCAACCCATGCCTGACCATTGGAATTAGAAAGAAAAGGCAAAATTTCTTTAACTGAAAGGACCCTGGATCCAGGACATAATGAAGCCGAACAGGCAAGTGATATGTCTTATTATCTTATTGTGGGTTTGTGAGGCGGGCTCAGCAACAGGGAGGTTTTCTGTGGCAGAGGAAATGGAGGTCGGTTCCTTTGTGGCTAATGTGGCCAAGACTTTGGGGCTGGAGATAGGGGAGCTGTCTGCCCGTGGGGCCCGAGTCCTCTCCGAGGACAATCGGCAATATTTACAGCTTAACCTAGAGACTGGGGATCTGCTCCTGAGAGAGAAACTGGACCGAGAGGAGCTGTGTGGTCCCAGAGAGCCCTGTCTGCTGCCTTTCCAGATCTTGCTGGAAAAACCTTTTCAGATAGTTCGCGCTGAGCTCTGGGTCCAAGATATAAATGATCATTCCCCTGTTTTCCTGAACACTGAAATCCTTCTCAACGTCCCTGAAAATAGCCAACCTGGGTCTCTGTTTTCTCTGAAAACTGCACAAGATTTGGACATAGGAAGCAATAGTGTTCAGAACTACACAATCAGCCTTAATTCCTATTTCCACGTTGAAACCCGTGCTCGCGGTGACGACAGGATGTTCGCGGAGCTGGTGTTGGACAAAGCCTTGGATAGGGAGGTGCAGTCCGAGGTCACTTTAACTCTCACTGCCCTGGATGGAGGATCCCCTCCTAGGTCTGGAACAGCCCCAATCCGAGTCCTGGTTGTGGACATCAACGACAATGCCCCGATTTTTTCCCAGGCCCAGTATGGAGTTCAGATCCCAGAGAATAGCCCTATCGGCTCCCTGATTGTCACGGTCTCTGCTAGAGATTTAGACATAGGAAATAATGGGCAAGTATCATATTCCTTTTTTCAAGGCTCTGAAGAAATTGTAAATACTTTTGAAGTAAATCCCACCTCAGGAGAAATTAGAATGAAAAGAAAACTAGACTTTGAAGCAATTAAATCTTACGAAGTGGATATTGAAGCCACAGATGGCGGGGGCCTTTCAGGAAAATGCACTGTTGTGATCCAAGTGACAGATGTGAATGACAATGCCCCAGAACTCATCATATCATCATTTACCAGTCCTATTCCTGAGAATTCACCTGAGACTGTGGTAGCTGTTTTTAAGATTCGAGATCAAGATTCTGGAGAAAATGGACAAATGGTTTGTTCTATTGAAGAAAATGTCCCCTTCATCTTGAAACCATCTATTGACAACTTTTACACCCTGTTAACAGAGAGCTCCCTGGATAGAGAAAGCAAGGTCGAGTACAACATCACCATTACAGTCACAGATCTGGGGACTCCGAGGCTCAAAACTGAACGCAGTGTCACTGTACTAATCTCTGATGTCAATGACAATCCTCCAGAGTTTACTCAGACAGCCTACACATTCTACCTCCAGGAGAACAATAGCCCTGCCCTCCACATTGGCAGTGTGAGGGCCAATGACGAGGACTCAGGGACCAATGCCAAGGTTACCTATTCACTGCAACTTCCTGAGCCTGGAGACCTGCCCCTCTTCTCCTACATCTCCATCAACTCTGACAATGGCCATCTCTATGTTCTCAGATCTCTGGATTATGAAGTGATCCAAGCTTTCCAGTTCACTGTGAGGGGGACTGATGGGGGCTCTCCAGCCCTGAGCAGCCAAGCTCTGGTTCAGGTTGTGGTCCTGGATGAAAATGACAATTCTCCCTTTGTGCTGTACCCCCTGCAGAATGGCACAGCTCCCTGCAATGACCTGGTGCCCAGAGCTGCAGAGCCAGGTTACCTGGTGACCAAGGTGGTGGCTGTAGATAGGGACTCAGGACAGAATTCTTGGCTTTCCTACCAGATGCTCAAGGCCACAGACCCAGGACTGTTTACTTTGTGGGCCCACAATGGGGAAGTGCACACAGCAAGGCCCATTAGTGATAGAGATGCTATCAAACAGAGGCTTCTGGTGCTAGTGAAGGACAATGGGGAGCCACCTTTGTCCACTGTGGTCACGTTGAATGTAATCTTGGTAGATGGCTTCTCTGAGCCCTACCTTCAACTCCCAGATGCACCCAAGGAGCAGGTCCAGATTGACTCCCTCACCATCTACTTGATCATTTCTTTAGCAGTTATTTCCTTTCTTTTTCTGTTCTCTATTATTATGTTTATTGCTATTTGCCTGTGGAAGAGAAAAAGGGATGCCACAGACTGTAGGCAATTTGACCCAAATGGCCCCTTCCCAGGGCACTTGATGGATATCAGCAGAACAGGGACCATGTCCCAGAGCTACCAGTATGAGGTGTGTCTAACCAGTGGTTCAGGGACCAGTGAGTTCAAGTTCCTGAAGCCCATTCTACCCAGTGTCTCTCCTCAAGGTACTGGCAAGGACTCACAGGAAAATCCTGTCCTTAGAAATAGTTACATGCTTACTTAAGTATTATAACTGATCAACAGAAATTTAATATTATTATTTTGTGAACCCTTTGCTAGCACTGTTTCATGAATCTTTCATCCTTGCCTAGTAGGGGGAACTTTGAACCAGATAGCAAAAGTCCTTTTAATATGGTGAAAATTATTGTTGGTCCTGAAAGTTTCTCAGTGTTCTTGGTTTTAGTAAAACATTTGGCTAGCTGATTAATTGATTATGTAATATTCCACATAGTCTGCACAATATTGTTATTATTTTATAATATGCTCTATCCAAAAGAGTAAAATGAGAAGATAGATTGTTTCCTTTCAAATTTCAAAGATCATATAGTTTAGCTCTAAGGCTGATATCTCACATCCATTTAGATGCTTTCTTTTTTATTTATCTTTGAGTTTAACTTCCACTGTCTAGGACTGTGTTTATGAAGCTAGTTATTATGAGACTTTCTCCCCCAATCTTGAGTATGTTACCTATAATTTAAATTACTACTACAATTAAATGTCAGAGAAATTCCTGAGTAATGGCCAATAAATACTAGACTTCCCGTAGAGGCAGAGTTAAACAAAAATAGATTTATCTATTACCAAAATCAATTTTACTTTTTCTTTTAACTATTAAATTAACAACATCTTCAGGCTAGCTAATTAACAGTATTAGCATATCATCTTGGAAAGAATTATAAGTAAAGTATGGAACAAAGTTTAAAGAAATGTAAATATCTCATTAAGACCTGGTACTTTTCTCTTTAATCCTTAATGTTAACAGTAATAACTGATTAATCTATCCCTACTTTTTCCTTCCAGGCCTAAGTAAAAACCAACTTTAACTCATGCTTAAACTCACCTTATATTCAGAAACTCATTGGAATACACACACACACACACACATATATATATAACTTCCAGTAAAATTTGGCTCTAACATTTTAGTTTTCAGGTTATATCTGAATATTCCTTACAGTGGCTTTTATCTAACCCTTCAAAAATAGTTATAAACTTATTAAAATAAAATGTTTTGTTCTTGATCCTTTCAATTAATTATATGGGCATCCCAAAGAATGTCTCTAGACCTCCTGGTGGGAAAACTTGGGTTTCTGGGTTTCTGCTCCATGACTTGAACATAGCAAAATAAAGGAGAGACATTAACACTATTCCCTTGTTTAGATACAGACAGGCTGAATCAGTCAGTCATGAGTTATTGATTTTTCTGAAGACCAGATTATGCTTCCCTCAAGTCTCTCCTCAACAGATAGCTTGAGAATACCATAAATTTGTTTTTGATAGTTACATAATCTGGACTCAAACACTATTGACTTTCAAATGGCTATGCCTATTCTTTCTGAATTCTTATACTTCGAAAAATTCAGTTAAACACAACAGACTACAGTTATGTGACAGAGGTATACCTTCATTTCTCTGCAATTGTTACTTTTTAAAGTCATGGGTTATATGTGTTAGCATTTTATCATCATACAAAATGGAGAAACCTGCTATAACTGTTGGTTTACTTCCCCCTATCCTCTAGAGTACTTTTTATGAATGGTATTTGCTTCTAAATTGTGTTAAAGCACTTTGTATTTCTTTTTTTTAAAATATGAAATACAAAATCTTCAAAACACTTAAACATATCCATATGTTTATCCATATGCAAAGAAGGTCATAAAACTAAGGTTGCATATGTAACCATTAATCTATTATTGCTATATTGCTCTTCTTATTTGTGTTTTCTCTTGAACTTCTTCATACTCTCTCTTGTGTGTTTTTGGATATTTCACTGTTTTTCTTTTCTTTTCTTTTTTCATTACTATCACTAATCCCCATACCCCAAATAAAAGCCCTCCTGTGAATTACGTAGGCATAGTCAAATGAAACAAATTTATTGCTTTGATCATGTTTGGAACTATATATCTCATTCTGTCCCAATAGTTCCATAACCTATTCATCAAGAGGTGAGAAGATTGCTTCATCATCTACCATTGCAATGGTTAGAGTTCTTAAACCTTTCAAAGTTGCTTTCATTTATAATATTGTGGTTATTCTATTTATAGAATAGAATATTCTTCTGCTCTGCTTACTTCATCCTGCATTAGTTCATATAAGTTTTCCTATATTTCTCTGGAAGAAATCCAGATTCCCTGGGATGGCTTTTGTCATTTCTTATAGTGACATAGTATTTCATCATACTTATGTACCATAACTTGTTCATCTACTCTTTGATTAATGGACCCTCAATTTATTTCAAATTATTTGATAAAACAAAAAGGGCTGTTATAAATAATTTTGTACTTAAGTTTTCCCACTGTTTTTAATCCCTTTGAGGATATGCCTAGTGGTTGTGCTACTGTGTTAAAGTGCATGAACAGTTTAGAAACTTTTTTGATATTGTTGCAAATTGTTCTTCAGAATGGGTAGACCAGTTCAAAGCTCAACCAGCAATACATTTGTGTGTATGTCCTCCTGTAACTCCTGTAACAATTGTAATTTTAATTTTTGTCATCTTTGTTATTCTGTTGGGCATGAGGTAGAACCTCAGAGGTGTTTAATTCATCTTATTATGAGTGATTATGTGGTTATTAATACCTTGGATTTCTTCCCTCAATTGAGAGCTGCCTATTCATGTACATTTTATCTATTAGGAATGGCTCATTAATAAATCTGTATCAATCCCTTCTATCTTCTATCTTGGATATTAGACTTTTAACAGAGGAAATTTTCTATCTTGGATATTAGACTTTTAACAGAGAAATATTAGACTTTTAACAGAAAATTTAACAGCAAAAACTTTCCCAGATACTTGTTTGCTTTCTGATTCTATCATTCTAACTGAATTGCTTTTAATTCATCTATACCTTTTAAGTTTTATGTAATTAAAATTGAACCTTGCATCTCCTGTGATCATCACTACCCCTATCTGGTCAAGAAATCTTCCCCTGCCCATGGTTATGAAAGATATTTCTTTCCATTTATTCTAATTTATTTGTGGTATAACTTTGGGTATCCAGATCATGTGTCTAGATCACTTGGTGCTTCTTTTAATAAATAGTACAAGTTGTTGATCTAAAACTAATGTTTCTCAATTGTTTTTCAATACAGCCCAGTAGTTTTATCAAAACCTTACCTGTGGTGGTTTATTTCATTGGGTTTAGCAAACACAATAATATTGTTTCAATTGATTTTGGCTCTTTCATACTTAATCTGATCCACTTATCAACTTTTCAGTTTTTTAATCCATACCAAATTGTTTTGATGATCTCTATTTTGTAGTTTGGTTTGAGTATTGGTAATACCAGGTTCCTTTATTTCTCTTAAAATTCTTGAACCCCTTTAGATGAATTTTGTTGTAATCTTGTCTAGTTTTATATAGTAATAATTTGGTAATCATTTAGCAAGGCACCAGCTACCTAAATTAATTTAAATAGTATTGTCATTTATTACATTAGTATGGCTAAATCATAAGCAATTAATTTCTCTCAAATTGTCTTTCTTCATTTCTGTAAAGATTGTTTTGTAGTTGTAATCATATAATTACTATGTCTGTCCTTGTCAGTGAGCTTCTAGATATTTTATGCATTTTGTGGTAATTTTCAATGAAATTTTGTGTTCTATACCATTCTGCTGGGTTTTGTTGGAAATATACAGACAGATTCTCTTTATAGGTTTTATTTAACATTTTTCTACTTTACTGAATTTATCAAATAATTTCTGTAATTTTTAGTTGAATCTCTAGGGTTATCTAAGTAACCTATCACATCTTTATCACAATTACCTCTTTTTTCCTAATCCCTTTCATTGTTTCTTTACTTTTTTCTCCATTTCAACCAGTCTTTAAGTATATTGAAAACCATTTCCTCTTTTTAAAAAAAACTACCAGTACATATATTAATGTTATTGGACATGGATCTCAGTGTTTTAATTTGTCCACAATACTGCTAATCCTCTGTGTCAACTCAATAAATGCTAATGAAATGGAATGGAATGGTTTTGGCATTTGATGTATTCTAATATGTGCACATTCTATTTTAATCAAGTTCATGACTGATTGTGTGATTTCCCAGCTCAACATAGCTGTGACTCATAGTCATGAAAATTGGCATCAACTAATGAAAATGAAAGCCACATGTAGACAATCAGGAAGATATTTTATCATCTCAAAATTGTTTTTTGTAATTCCAAACACTGCCTTTAATAGTGTTGTTGGGATGCTTTCTAGCATTACTCACTTTTTAGTTGGACTATTCAAATTTTCTGGTATACATAGATAAATGATATAAAGAGCTGAAGATGCATCACCTCTATACTTTTAGCCTTAGGTGATATGATGTTTGAATGAGGAGCTAAAGAATGAGGTCAGATGAGAGGGAAACTCACAAAGACTTTGAAAAGTGAAACTCAGTTTGATGAATTTCCTATTAATATATGGGTTAAATTGAACAAAATATGGTTTTTATGTTAATACAAATATTAATCTGAAGTAATATAAAAGTTAACCTTTCACTTACTATATCAATACATGGAAATCCCCTTTGATGAACTGGTAGACCTTTATAAATGAAATCTGTAACTCTCCTCACTTTGTGCTCATGAATTAAAGAGAATTTTTTGAAATATAAAATGGTATTTAAGATGAGAAATTGTAATGAAATCAACATGGGATTGACTACAGCAAAATGAAATGGAGAATAGAGTCAGTGATCCTAAGAAACTGGAGGATGTATTAACTTAATACTACTGGTATTTTGATTATATATGTATTTGACCTAATCTTTTCTTTGGTATAGCTGGTCACATCATTAAGCGAATCATTTCCCCACTCAGGCCTTAGATTAATTATATGTAACAGAAGGGGGTTGGATTAGATTTTTATTCATGTCCCTTCTGAGTCTAACACTGAATATTTCAATGACTATTCCTTCATTTTGGTTAAATAGACTTGGTCAAAATTTGGGATTCATTTTTTTTTTCCATGAAGCTTGTTACTAGTTTAGTTACCATCGCTGTCATAAGAACCCAATAAATAGTGGAGCCCAAAGGAATAAATACAAACTGGTGACTGAAAAAAATACTCTCATAGTCCATGTTTTAAGTTCTTTCTTTGTGTTTTAAGATGTTTAAAAAGAAGTGCTAATTTACTCTAACATCAGAATTTCTTAATGTGCAATTGGAAGAGTTTAAAGTTGGAAACTTGAAGAAGAAAGTATAACTACTTATCTCCTTTTGTCAGTAAGCTCTTGCTAAATTATTTATTAATTATTAGTCAAGTACATATGAGATGAGAAACAATGCCCTTTCTTTTGTTATTTCACTTTGTTTCTCAATAATGCAATAAAATTTGTATGCCTGAAATTGTTTAAGGCAATATTTTGATACTTGAAGAGACATGGAAAAGTGTAAATTCTATGTCAGGATGCATGGTGCAGATGCCATTACCCAAAGCAAAAAGTTACCTCAGGAAGGAAAGAGATTGAAGGCTTAGCAGGGACTGAGGGATATTCCCCCAACAGCTATGAGGCAATAGAAATATTGAGCTAGAGTTCCTTCAACCAGGAAACTGGAATGGATTTTTACCAGGACTTTTTATTACTAAAAGGACACACATGGTGCAGTAGTCACTACAATGGAGACTGTACTATGTAAAACTCAGCAGAAGAGGCAAGTGATATTCCTTATTGTAGCATTACTCTTGTCTGAGATGGGTGGAAGCTGGCCTGTTTTCTGTGGCAGAGGAAATGGAGAGTGGTTCTTTTGTGACCAATGTGGTGAAAGCTCTGGATCTGGAAGTGGGGGAGTTGTATGCGAGGGGTTCCCAGGTAGCCTCTAACCATAACAAACAGTTTTTGCAACTGGATCAGAAGACAGGGGATTTATTTCTAAAGCAGAAACTGGACCGGGAGTAGCTGTGCTGCCTTTCCGGATCTTACTGGAAAACCCTTTGCAGTTCTTCCAAGCTGAACTGCAAGTGAAAGATATAAATGACCATTCACCCACTTTCCCAGACCCTGACATACTCCTGAGAATATCAGAAAGCACCACACCAGGGACTGCTTTCTCTTTAAAGATCAGTCAGGACTTGGATGTTGGCATTAGCAGCCTTCAGGACTACACCATCAGCCATAACTCGAATTTCCTCTTTCATATTCAAACCTGATGTCATTGGTCTTTGAGAGTGCATTGATGGCAGAAAGTTCCCAGAACTGGTCTGGTGTTGGAGAAAGCCCTGGATCACAAGGAATAGCCATAGTTCATTGTAATAAGTGTTAACCACTCCCTAGCACCTGGTATGGATGGATGCAGAGTCCTGGAACCCCATATATGCTGACCAGTGGTTGAATCAAAAGCAAAACTCCTATAAGACTGGCATGTCCAAAGCCTTCTGAAAATTCTTGACTTATTGTGCAGTAAGGGATCCCTGGGGCATCTAGATGACACAGTGGATAGAGCACCAGGCCTAGAGTCAAGAAGACCTAAGTTCAAATCCAGCCTCAGACACTTACTAGAAGTGTGACCCTGGGCAAGTTACTTAACCCTGTTTACTTCAGTTTCCTCATCTGTCAAATGATCTGGAGAAGAAAATGGCAAACCATTCCAGTATCTTAGACAAGAAAACCCCAAATGGGATGATAAAGAGTTGGACAAAGCAGAACAACAAGAAGAACAAAGGGACACCTGATATTTGTTATAAATACAAATGCCAAAGGTGCAAATGCCTACTGCACAGTAAAAGGGTGGAATTTTGTTTTGTTTTGTTTTAAGAATATATAAGATCCATAACAGTGATAAGGTGAATACAACTGGTTGCAGTAAGATCTGATAGTTTTTTTAATAGAGATAATGCGATCTTTCCCATATCTACAATTACCAGTATTCATAGAAGATAATAAATCATAATTCAAATCTCTGTCCCAAATTTCACTAATTGAAGGACTCCTTAGTTCAAGTACATTAAGTATTCTTTTACAACTTAACTATTATGGGAAATATTAAGTTATCCTTTCAGTCACCTGGTGGCGCTGCAGGCTAAGAAGCCTCGGCAGAACCCAGCCTCCCATCAGAGCAAAAGCAGAATTAGAAAAAAGCTCAGACAAAGGGAAGTTTTGTAAGGAGGAGCTGAGAGCTCAAACCTGAGCTTCCTGAGACAGCAACCCATGCCTGACCATTGGAATTAGAAAGAAAAGGCAAAATTTCTTTAACTGAAAGGACCCTGGATCCAGGACATAATGAAGCCGAACAGGCAAGTGATAAGTCTTATTATCTTATTGTGGGTTTGTGAGGCAGGCTCAGCAACAGGGAGGTTTTCTGTGGCAGAGGAAATGGAGGTCGGTTCCTTTGTGGCTAATGTGGCCAAGACTTTGGGGCTGGAGATAGGGGAGCTGTCTGCCCGTGGGGCCCGAGTCCTCTCCGAGGACAATCGGCAATATTTACAGCTTAACCTAGAGACTGGGGATCTGCTCCTGAGAGAGAAACTGGACCGAGAGGAGCTGTGTGGTCCCAGAGAGCCCTGTCTGCTGCCTTTCCAGATCTTGCTGGAAAAACCCTTTCAGATGATTCCTGTTGAGCTCTGGGTCCAAGATATAAATGACCATGCACCTGCTTTCTTAGAAACCAAAATGCTTCTGAAAATCCCTGAGAATACCCCACCTGGAACTCTATTTTCTTTAAAAAACGCTGTGG